TAAAAAAATAGTCGAGTGATACCGGTACCTTTGGTGGTCCAATAAACCTGTCTTTTTTAGGATAACTTAACGAAAAATATGATAATGCCTTGAGATAATCGTTAATCATAATCTTGAGATAATCCTTACGGATTTTTCTGATATATGACGAATAAATCTGAATGCACTACGTTTCTACCTGTCACATCTACAGTAATGAAAGTCAAGAGTGCCAGGAATAGGAACAGGGCAGTTTAAAATAATACAAGTAGAAGCCTCAGGAGTGCGTTGTATCAATAAAATTTGAGTAGTCCAGAGAAGAGCTTCAATATATTCGAACTAATGATGCTAGTGCAGGACCTATCGTGAAGACGATTTGGCATAAAGTGAGAAGACCATTGTGAGCAATGCATACCTTCAACTAACTTTCAAAAGTATCATGTGAAATCTGTTTCCATTATTGTTCCAGATACTCAGCTAGACAATAAAGAGTGGAAATCCTTGCACTGGCCTTTTGAATTAATATATCCTTATTATTACAAAGTTCTTATATGATCTTAAGTTCTGGATTTTGGGCAGGGTATTCCGAGATAAGGATATCGTTACTTGCTTTGTTATAGGAAATATTATCCTACTGGAACCGATGACCAAAATTTCTCAATGGTTCTTTGGAACATTATTTACGATATCTTAATATGTAATGTATTAGAGCTATAGAGGCTTCAAAGATACTTTTTATGTTCCACATTCACACTATGACACCCTTCTCACCTTATCCTTCGCAGTTGGTACAATAAATAAAGCAAAATCATGGTCTAAAACTTAGTCTGCTTCTTTCCTGACCCTTATTCAGCCATTAATTCAAAACTGGATTAGGTGGCTTTCATCACCCCATAAAATTCACGATCAGTTATCAGAATTTCTATGCTGATGGTCTTTATAATAGACAGAATTATGTCCAACATTATTCGGGATGATATGCAACTTAGACATCTCACCAGTTTCAAAGTACTTTTTGTAATGGAAGTCATAATACACAGTCTTTGGTGATGGTGTACGTTTACACATAGTGACATTGATTGCAGTAAAGTAATTTAAACAAGTGAACGTTTACAGCTGTAACTATCTAGCAGCACTTTCAACTGACCTGAACATCGTTACATAACGGACTGATAGGATTCTAAAGTATTGAATGGCAACATCGTAGTTATTTCACATATACATTTACCGTATTCATAGCAACTCACAATCTCTTATCTGAAATTCGCGTAATTTAAGACGTTTCGAAATTTTTACATACTTTGACACTATCTATTTGGTTTATCTCTGGAATTACGCCCTCTGATTCCTCTTGTAGAACATGTTGGGTGGGCACCGTCACACATTTAAGGAGTCTCCCATTTAGTTTAGAAGGGTGATGCATATTAGAAGTAATAGAAATAGAAATTTAGAGATATATCATATGAATACCCCTTTTTTTAGGAATATGTGTTATAGGTTACTTGAATGTTATTCTTACTTGTGAAATATTAACAGCTGTGGTATTCCAATGATAAAACAAACGCACAATTATCTGATCTTTGTAATAACAAGGGGTTCGCGGAAAAAATATGTCAAAGGACATGTGTAGTGGTTTGTTGAGGGTAAAATGGAAATAACAAGACGTAAGTAAAGTTGAATCAAAAACAAATACTTTAGTTGGAAGACAGGACACAGAAGATGAGTTTATCGTTTGATCACGGAACTATTACGTTACAGTTAAGTTAATATAAATAGTATGAATAAAGCTGTATTTGAAGAGAATTAAAATGAAACAAGTTGTATGTGTAGAAATAAAATCGACTGATAGATCGTTGGTGAATTTACTGCTACAAATTGCGGCGAATGCACCAATACAGGTCTTAACAGACATAGAAAATAAAGACTGGACTTTGACAGCAAGTTTTGGCTCAAGTCCGAAAAGAATATTGTTGCGT